GGCAGATCTGTGACTGACTGTCCTCTCATCGGTCAGACTCGCAGACCCTCTGGCTCGATGTCAAGGGGCCAAGCGGTCCCGGGCCCAGAAGCAGACTTGGTGCAAGGACATTAAGACTAGTTCCCATTAGGGGCACCTGGGTGGCTCAGTAGGTTAAGTGTCCAACTTCGGCTCAGGTCATGATCTCCTGGTTCGTGGGTTCTAGCCCCGCACTGGGCTCTGTGCTGACAGTTAGCTCAGAGCCTGGGGCCTGTTTCAGATTCTGTCTCCCTCTCTCTCTGACCCTCCCCTGTTCATGCTGTCTCTCTCTCTGAGAAATAAATAAAAAACATTAAGAAAAAAAAGACTAGTTCCCATTAACTAGTTCATCCAGGCTAACGTCCTGACAATGTTTTCAGAAAGAAGATCTTCCCAGGGGTCACTACTGGCTCCTGGTCTGTCGGCCACGGCTGCGCCACGACTGTCAGAGTCTCACAGGACCCTCGTTCAGCTGCAGGTAAAGGAGACAGAAGTGAGTAGGGCCTCTCAGGGAGTGACCGCAGATCCAACTTCACAGAAGCGACCGTCTGGTCCCACAGTGTTTTAAACAAAACAAACTGAGCAGCTACGTCAAAGAAGAATATCTGATACGTTTCCTACCCCCTTCCCATGCTTCTCCCTTCACTCGCTCACCCCCTTACAACAACCAAAGCTCAAATCCAGTACTGTACGGAGTAGGGGAACAAATACAGAAAGGTTTCTGGCACAATGAGAAGGGGAATCGGAAGACCGTCTGATGCCATTTAAGAACTGGCACCATTCCTAATCAAACCGCCTCAAGCCCCATTTGTTTGGTAAATGTTTACAGATCGCCTTCTCCCGACAGGCCCAGTTCTAGACGCTGCCATCGAGGAACCTGGTCCAGCGGGACGCACAGAATTACAATCCACGCAGCGGAAGATACGTACAAAGTACAACCAGGGCACCCGCGGTGGCGCAAGTCTGACGAGTAAACGCAAGGCTACGGGCAGGGGCTGGAGGTGGCTGGCGGCCGACGCGGGAACGGAACATTCCAGGTAAGACGGGCACAGATCCTGAGGCGTGAGCTCGCAGAGCCAAACACGTCAGCACTGAGCGTGACATGTGTGTGCTGGGGGAGGCAAGGGACGCGGGGTTGTGAGAGCTGGTCGGGGAGGGGCCGCCTCATAAAGGGCACTAGACCCAACCCTGCAGGTGAATTTTAGGCAGAGACCTGGCACAATCGTCTCTGTTTCAGAAGGATGACCTTGGTAACCGAAGGAGAGGTGGATTAAAGCAAAGTAATACCAGAGACTGAAGCCAGGAAAAGACTATTCTATTGTATGAAGACAGAATGAGGACTTGAACTTGAGAAGCAATAGTGGAAACAACGATAAGGTAACTGACTTAAAGAACGCTGGGAGGAAAGATGTGGGACAGACGTCACAGGTTCGCGGGCCGGTGGGCCAGGAAAGCCAGATAGCTTCCGCCTCCACTTCCTCCCAGCCACGGTGGGGCCAACTGCGGACTACCTCGGAGCTGCTGAGCCACCGCAGGGACTGTTTACATCCCGACTCAAGACAAGTATCCTTCCAGTGTAAGCTACTGATGGTCAGGCTCCCCATTACTTCTGGACAGAATCAAGCCAACCAAAGGAGACAGGGCCTGGTGACTGGCCTATGAAGGGTGTGTAATAAAGAGGAATGAATAATTTTAGTTCCAGGGTTCTGGCTTGGGAAACTACGCAGAAGGTCCTCAGGACAAAACGACAACACAAGAGTGGGGGGGAGTGGGGGGGTAGTGAGGGGGTGGTGGCGGGGGGGGGGGTTGTTAGTGGAGTAAAGGGGAAGATCTGAGCTGTGGAGAGAAGGGAAAAAGTTTGTTCCTGGACATGTTTATTTAAAGATATTATGGGGGCACCTGGGTGGCTCGGTCAGTTAAGTGACGGACGGACTCTTGATTTCAGCTCAACACATGATCTCATGGTTCGTGAGTTCGAGCCCTGTGGCAGGCTCTCTGCTGTCAGCGCAGAGCCTGCTTCGGATCCTCTGTCTCTCTCTCTCTCTCTCAAAAATAAATAAAACATTAAAAGTCTGAGTGAGATCTAAAGATGTGTGGGAAGCCAGATCCTGTCCCACGTGCCTGGCTCACATTCTCTTAGAGGAGTCAGACGGAGGACAGTCTACAGCAGTACAGCGCCCAACTTCCTTACTTGAAGAGTCTTAGGAGACATTTTTTTTTTCCTATTAAGGCTCTGGAGATGTACAGATACTATCTGGAAACAGGAAGAAAACTGTTTATAGAATGAATCTACAAATATCATCAAGCCACGGCATAGTTTTACTTTATAACAATCCATTAGTAGCCAAGATCATCCGAAAAAGCACAAACTCTGGATCTGTGGCAAAGGAAGACCCTGTGCCAGAGTGACGATGGCCGAGACCGTCCCAGCAGCCAAAACTACTCTGAATCACCTGTGCTACTATGGATGCAGCAAACTGGGAGTTCGCGAACCTCCTCATTCTGAGACTCAGAAAATCACCCAGGACAGGTTTCATTGGTGGTAGATTATCCCAAAGTACAAAGAGGAACATAATCACCGAGAAAGCAGCAAGCAATAATTTAGCAGCTCTTTGTGAGATTAAGTAACCTCCTAAGGATTATACCATCCCTCTGTGGGAAGAAGCTAATGCAGGTGACCCTGATACAATTACCATCTTACACGCAGCAGTTACCGATGAGCAGAAATGGGCAGCAATTCCCAGCCCTGGGGACAGGAACCAAACAGAGGGAGCAGGGGACAGCCTCACTGACTAGGAGACCCGGGAATCCCGACAAACAGTGATGAGAAGCGCAAACCAAAGGGTGAGTGTGATCTAAAGATGTTTGCGAAGTCTGGACGGAGACAGACTGCGGCTAGACGGGGCCTGTCCGGACAGCAGCAAACCCCATCAAAGGCATGGATGACGCACAGGCAGTGCTATCAAAGATAAAAGGATTTGCCCTTGACATCAAGCAAGGTTTCCAAACCCAATACAGCTTGAGAAGAGGGGGCATAAAAGGAACAACCTCGCATCTCCACACGCTGGTCTTCATTCAAAAACAGCTCTGATCACGCGGCTCCCTGCCCCCAAGAGGGTCCCCGGGGTTCGGAGCCTTACCCCTCACCCCCGGCCCTTCATTCGGGTCCCAAACTAATAAAGCTCTAATCAAACTTTCCGGTGTGTCTCTTTCATGCACCCTACCTACCCTCCGGTTCTCCTGGACCGGCTGGTATTTCCCAGGCCGACGCGCACTCTCCTCCGGCCACGCGGCTCATGCTGATGGCTCCCGGCCCCACATGGGTCCCTGCACCTTCATTCCTGATCCTACAACCACATGTGGTCTCCTCCTTTACATCCTGTTCTGCTCTCACCCAAAATCACGAAACCACGCTACTCTGTTTTGAACTGCTACTACTGTTGTACCTGTCCTATGGTAATTCTAAATTCCCCAAAGAAGAGAATGCATTCATTTTTGTGACTTCTACAAGGTCATAAATAATTGCAGGTTGCTGAGATAGTGACATAAAGCAGCCACAGCTCGAAAGCCCTCTAAAGAACACACAAGGGCAAGCTTGTTAGAAGTCTAATAATTCAACTATTTACCATTCCGATAAACATTCATACGCTTCTCCTCCTAATGCTAGGAAAAAACAAAATATTAAGAAACAAACACGGGAATTATTCAGCAGAGGAGATCATGAATCAGACTGTGGTCTAGAAATTCTAGAGCCTATTTTTAGTTAGCTGGGCAGGTTTAATTTACCCTTTTCTCTACCTGCCTCCTCTGTAGCTACCCACTTTACAAAAGCGACGCGAGGAGTTAAGATCTTTGGTAACAAGTTAATATTTTTAACATCTTCCAGAACACTTCTCCCTTTAAAATATATCGGTTTAAATATCACCTCTAGCTTTTCCTATAGTCACCACCATCAGCCGGTTTTTGTGATTTTTGTGACTCAGAGAGTACCTGGAGTGCAAGGAAGCCCATCATGGGCCACATAATGCATTTTCAGTTTTAAGGAAACAGCAAAACTTCTGCCTCGACTTTCAGATTTCTCTTAGCCTGCGACCCTCTGGTCATTGTTGCATAATCCTAACTTAGAAAGGGGCTTCATGATCCAGAAGAAGAGACATACTGTGCTTTCAAAAGCAGAATATACACTGTGAGACGTTTTAAGAATGGACAAGAAACCAAATGCAGATCACTGCGGTGGGGGGAGGGGGCGCGCAGGCGATGCAACAGTGAAAGGGCAACAAAAAGTCTTGAACAGTAAAGGTACCCCACTGACCACAAAAAGCTGAAATCCAGATGATCATTCCTAAGCAGTGACATAAGCCAAAGACATTACTAAGTGCCCTGCTTTTCTCGGCCCTCCAGTTCTACGCCTCTGATTTTTTCCTACCATGTTTCACCTTTTTCAGCACGTCAATCCATCCCCTCCCACCCACCCCCACCCCCCTACACGGAGTGTAGTCAACGGAGACCTCACCTCCAGCCCCAGGCGGTCTCTACCCCAGCGTGACGTACCTCCCAGAACAGGGCACCCGAATTCCTTTCTACCCAAGACGCCGCACTGTGAATGTAGAAATGGATCCGGTGCAAGGGAACACAAAGTTTAGATCTGCGGGCGCGAGCCGTGGCTCCCGAACCCCCGTGTTTCAGCTCCTTCTGCATCTTTCAGCCAGCAAAAACAACGAGCAGGGCTTTTCCATCTGCCAGAAACACTTAGAAGGAATTTTACACGCGCAGGCAGAGGTGACCCTTTACAAAAGGGAGACGAATCAACCGAAAGCAGCAAACCCAGGCGTGCATCTAACTGCCCCGATCCTTCTCCGCCGGGGAGCGGGGCGCGATTCCGAGGCAAACCCACCCTCGGCCTGGATCCCGGGTGCCGGCGGCGCTCCAAAGTTAGATGACCTCACAAACTCGCCTCCCTCTCCTGCGGTCACGTCGGATACCTGTTGCATCACCTGCCGAGTGGGCTTCAGCATCGAGTGGTTCGAGGAGAGCACCACTCGGCCGGGCTGTTTTCTTGGGAGCCCCATTCACCCGAGGGAGGCTGCCTCGGAGGCAGGGGGCTGTCGGCTCCCGGGCGCCCCTGGAGAGATTCTCGCCCAGGCACCGACAGCCGTGACTCTGTGGACTCGCCAGGGCTCGAGAGTTTCTGGGGACTCGGGCGGGGGGAGCCGTGCGGCTGGGAGGAGCGGCAGAGCGGGGCGGACCGCGCTCGGGGATCCGGCGGCCCCAGGGTCCCCGGGGGCAGGAGTGGAGGTCGGAGCCGCGACCCCAGCCTCGCCGAAAGGACGCCGCCCGCCCGCCCCCCCAGCTGCCGGGCCCGGCGCAGGCTCCCGGCGCCCCGCGCCCCGGCCGGAGCCCTCGGGCGGACCGGGCAGCGCTTCCCCGCGCGCCGACGTGCGCCGGGATTAAACCTAACCCTGCTCCCCTCCCCCACCCCCGAGAACTAAGCCGGAGGCGGGGACGCGCGGCAGGAAGCGCAGGGGCCGGGGTCCGAGCCCGGCGGCCCGAGGACGCCGCCTGGGCCGCACTCACCATGTCGTACACGTTGAGCACCACTAACTGGTTAGCCCCCATCCTCCTCCCCGCGGCCGCCGCCTCGTCCTCCAGCCGCTCCGTCTCCGCGGGGCCGAGGCCGCTCCCACCCCCGCGGGCACTTCGGGGGGCCAGAGCCGGGCACTACGCACACAGCCCGGCCCGCGGCAGCCGGCGCGGGAGCATCGGGGAGCCGGGCCGCTCCGGGCGCCGCCGACAGGACCCTCTGCGCCGACGGGGCCGGACCGCTGGCGGGCCCGCTCCGGCTCAGGCACCTCCCCTCGGCGGCGGACACGTGGGGAAAGGCGGGGCCTGAGCGGGGGGCGGGCGCCAGGCGCCCCGGGGGCGGGGCCGGCCCGGCGCCGGGGCTGAGCCCGCCTGCGCTCTGGCTCGGCGCGGCCGCACCTCGGGACCTAAGATGGCGCCTCTCCACGCTGAAGCGGGGGGAGGTGGGGGGGGGGGGGTCCCTGAAAGACTACAGTTCCCGGCATGCAGCGAGAACTCCACCGTTCGCCGCTCCCGGCACAGCAGCCGAATCTTACAAGTGCGGTTTCCAGCCGTCGACTACAACTCCCAGCATGCAGCGGGAGGTCCCGCTCCTACCACACCAGGCCTCCCCGGGAGACTACAGCTCCCAGCGTGCAGTGCTTGGGATCTGCGCCGGCCCTCTGCGGTCCGCCCTTGGCGGCAGGTGAAGTCCTCTACCTTCAACCCTTCAGGGTTGCGGCCGCTGCTGTTAATTTCCGTCGCGTTGAGCACGTTGAAGCCAGCGGAGTGTGGCAAAAGACCGTAGCGATGACCCTGCTTTCCAAACCCTCCTTCCTTGCTTATTTATGTATTCTTTTGCACTTGGAGAAGGTGCGGAAATAGAGGAAGGCAGGTTGCTGGTGGGAGGGAGGGGCGTAACACGCGTCCAGTTAGTGCTCACTATGAAACCTTACGTTTTATGAAACTACCTTGCTGACATGGGCAGAGAGTACGGCACTCACAGATTAGCATAACGTTAGGACACAGTAGTTACTTTTGCATTGATTCAACAAATCTTTGTGTGCCTGCTGGATGCCAGGCGGTGTTGTGAGCCCTGGGGAATACAGTAATTAGGAGGAAGAACAAATATGGGTGATGTGTGCTCGCAGAGAATCAAAATGGGATGAACTGATGGACAGTAATGTTAGGTTGGCTGCATCTGGACGTCTTGGTGACCAGGTTTGGTTTAGACTGAGATCTGAATGACAAATACGCATCGGGACAAAAATCCCATCAAGAGGGAGCAGCAAAGCTAACATTCAGCCAATTAGGAAGCCGTTCCACAGTGCATACCAAAAGGTGGCTTGGACACTGGGAGTAGTGCCGAACACCGAGAATATTCCATTTGCAATATTTTGAGAGTGAAGTCTCTTGGGGCTTGCTAATGAGTTGCGTTTCTTAAGGAGAAAGCATTCAAGGAAATTTTTCTAGATTTCACTTAAGAGATTGTGTGGGTGGTGGTGGCATTTGTAAGATGTGAAACTTAAGGGGAACGTTGGGAGGAGGGAAATCAAGAACTACGTTTGGTCGTGTTAAGTTAGAAATGCCTTGTAGACATCCATTGATATCAAGTAGGCATTGGGATAAACTGGAGTCGCAGCCATTATAAATAGACTGTTAAGCCTTGGGACTGACTGGATGACCTAGGAAAATTTGTAGCTAAAAAAGCAGAAAGGGGCCAAGGGCTAAGTTCTAGGATCCTTCATTTAGAGGTCAAGTTGGGAAGGAAAAAAGAACCACAGAGGCACACAGCCTGCAACTCAGGAGCCACAAGAGGATTAGATTCAGCAAAATGGAGGTTCCTGGTAATCTTGACATGAGCAGTCTTAGGAGGAGTGGGATCCAAAGAACGTCTGGAATGTTTGAGAAGTGAGTGTAAGGTGAGGAAGTGGAGACTAAGGGCAGCTTGGGACAATAGTGGGTTAGAGCCGTGTGGTCAATGGGGGACATTTTATTTTATTTTTATTTTTATGGTTTATTGTCAAGTTGGTTTCCATATAACACCCAGTGCTAATGCCAACAAGTGCCCTCCTCCGTGCCCATCACCCCCTTTCCCCTCTCCCCCACCCCCATCAGCCTTCAGTTTGTTCTCAGTATTCAAGAGTCTCTCATGGTTTGCCTCCCTCCCTCTCCCCCGCTATTTTTTCCCCTTCTTCTCCCCCATGATCCTCTGTTAACTTTCTCCTGTTCTACTCATGAGTGAAAACATATGGTATCTGTCTTTCTCTGCCTGATGTATTTCACTTAGCATAACACCCTCGAGTTCCATCCACGTTGCTACACATGGCCCGATTTCATTCTTTCTCATTGCCATGTAGTATTCCATTGTATAGATAAACCACATCTTTTTTTAAAAAATATATTTTTATCTATTTCTAGGAGAGAGAGAGAGAGAGACAGCGTGAGCAGGGGAGGGTCAGAGAGAGAGGGAGACACAGACTCTGAGGCCAGGCAGTGCCGAGTGTGGTAAGTGCTGGATGCATGACTGTTATCTGACTTCCTCAGACATGTTACGGACAAAGTTCTGAACTTGATTTTTGGCATGCCCAGCCGCTTTGCTTCCCTTCCCTCTCCGGTGTGGCCTTCCTCTCCACCCAACCCAGCTGAACAAACTAGAGCGATGGGGGAAAGGCACCATCCAGTGACACTTCACTGAGTCTTTGCTGCACTCCTGAGGGCTCACACCACTGGTTCACTTCACCTCTGACCCTGCACACTTGCCTTGACCTTTGTGATCTTGTCTGCTCTCAGCTGTCACTATCACACACATGCTGCAAAGTACGACAGCCCCATCCCCAAACCCCTCATCTGTCCCAAGCACTAGGCCGGTATAGCCTGCAGTCTACTGGATTTCTCTACCAGGGCTATTAGTTTCCTATTGCTGCTGTCATACGTGACGATGAATGTGTATAAAAGATACATGTATTATCTTACAGTTCTAGAGGTTAGAAGTCCCAAATGGGTCTCCCTGGGCTAAAATCAAGGACTGTGTTCCTTCTGGAGGCTCCAGGGGGAGAATCTGCTGCGTTTCTCAGCTTCTAGAAGCTGCTCTCATTCCTTGGCTCATGGCCACACTGCCCCGACCCCTCTTTCCATCATCATATCTTCTCTGACTCTCCTGCCTCCCCCTTACACTTATTAGGAACTTTCTGGTTACATTAGGCAGGATAATGTCATCTCAAGATCCTTAACTAACCACATCTGCAAAGTCTTTTTTTTCCCTATGTATGCTAATGTATTTGCAGGTTCTGGAGAATTCGATGACATCCCATGTCCCATGGTCACTTCAAATTCATCAGATACAGAAGAGAATTCACTATCATGGGGCACCCGTGTGACTCAGTCAGTTAAACATCCGACTTCGGCTCAAGTCATGATCTCATGGTTCGTGGGTTTGAGCCCCGCATCGGGCTTTGTGCTGATAGCTCAGAGCCTGGAGCCTGCTTCAGACTCTGTGTCTCCCTCTCTCTCTGACCCTCTCCTGCTTGAGCTCTGTCTCTGTCTCTCAAAATTGAATAAACATTAAAAAAAAAAAAAAAAAGAAAAGAAACACTATGGGACACCTGGGTGGCTCAGTCAGTTAAGTGCCCGACTCCGCTCAGGTCATGATCTCACAGTTTGTGAGTTCGAGCCCTGCATCAGGCTCTCTGCTGTTAGTGCGGAGCCTGCTTTGGATCCTCTGTCCCCTCCCCCCCCCCGCCCCTTCACTGCTTATGCACACTGTCTCTCTCAGAAAAAAAAACAAACATTAAAAAGACTAGAAATCAAATACTGCTACTGAAGCCCACAGCCCTGCTGGAGTGAAGAAACATGGCTAAGTTCACACAGATAGGAAAGGTGGAGACAGGAAGTCCTTCCTCCTCCTCCTGCCTGCCTCTGTCCCTCTAGTACCTGGTACCGAGAAACCTACTGGACAGCGGAGTCCCAGCTTCTACAACTAGAAAGGCAGATTTGAAATGGAGAGATAGAAGCCTTGATACAACCTCCCACAAATGATTTCTTAGGCAACCCAGAGGGAGACATTAAGTTTCCAAAGCATTATAGAGGAATATAAATTTTAAGTTTATTGCTACATTAGCTGTGTTGGAGACATGAACTGAGCCCGACAGTGTCTTATTTATGGTTGTGTAGCAAACACCTCAAAACATAGCAGCTTAAAATATTTTGGGGGCACCTGAGTGGCTCAGTCAGTTAAGTGTCTGACTCTTTTTTAAAAAAAATTTAATGTTTTATTTGTTTCTGAGAGACAGAGAGAGAGAGAGAGAGAGACAGCATGAGCAGGGGAGGGTCAGAGAGAGAAGGAGACACAGAATCTGAAACAGGCCCCAGGCTCTGAGCTGGCTGTCAGCACAGAGCCTGACGCAGGGCTCGACCCCTCGAACCATGAGATCATGACCTGAGCTGAAGTCGGACGCTTAACCAACTGAGCCACTCAGGCGCCCCTTAAGTGTTTGACTCTTGATTTGAGCTCAGGTCATGATTTCATGGCTTATGAGATGGAGCCCTGCGTCAGGCTCCACGCTGTTGGGACAGAGCCTGCTTGGGATTCTCTCTCTCCCTCTCTCTCTTCCCCTATCCCACTTGGGCTCTTTCTGTCTCTCTCTCTTCAAAATAAATATTTAAAACATTTTTTTTACAGTTTCTAGGTCAGGAGTCTGAGACCATCTGATTTATGGTTAGGTGAATAGGTCTCTTATGGAGTTTCAACCATCTGAAGGCTCGACCGGGGCTGGAGAATCTTCCAAGCTCACTCATGTAGCTGTAGCAGAAGGCTACATGTCAGCCACCACATGGGCCTTTCCAGGGTCCATCGCCACCTGGTGGCTGCTTCTCTTAGAGTGACCCAGAGTGGGAAAGTGACAGAGAAGGAAACTGCAGTGTCTTATAACCTAATCTTGGAAAGGACCTACTATCACACAGACCAACTCTGGCGTCATGTGGGAGGAGACCACACAGGTGTGACTCCTAGGAGGCAAGCCTGGCTGGGGGGCCATCTCGACTGCTGAGGCCAGATAAGCAGTCCAGGGTTAAAAGGCGTGAGTGTGCGTTCTACAGTACATCTTGAAACCGTCCCTTTTCCAGTTCAGAGCTGCCAACTGAGAAGAAAGACCTATTGAAAAATTCAGAGGATAATTGTGGTTTTTGTCTCAGAAGTCCTTACTGATGAAGTGGCTTTTTCAGCCATTGATAGTTGTACCAGCTTGTGGATATGGTAGAGAAAGTGGCTTGGACGGTGGCCACTGAGGAGGCTGTTCAGGCAGGCACCAGCCCTCTAGACCTCAAGTGGATGACCCCTTCATGCAAGACTTTCCATTTTTCCCGGCTTGGTGGTAAGAGTTCAACACGGCTCACCTGTTGATATTGTGCTTCCATGTCTCTAGAATTATTCCATTTCGGTGCTACTACTGAGATAATTGAAATTTGGGCAATCAGCTGCCCTAAGTGGCTGCTTCATTCTTAATTGGTATGAAAGGACTGGGGTCCCACCACAGCATGGCGTCCCAGACTCCGTGACCAGCCCAGACAGGGACTTGGTTTGCTGGTTTGGTTATGTGTGTGAGGATGAATACTTGGGAGTTCTCTGAGGTGGGCAGATAATTGAATATTGTTTTCCAGGTGAATGTGAACTGTTTCTGACCTTCTTTTCTTACGGGACAGTAAAGAACACATTTGCCAGGTCGATAGTTGCAAACCAGATACCTGAGGTCCAATTAACCTGCCCTAGCGTGGACACCACATCTGGCACACCAGCTGTAATTGTCGCCACGAGTTGGCTAAATCTGCAGGAGTCTACGGTCATTCTCCAGGATCCTTTCATTTTCAGCATGGGCCAGGCAGGTTTATTAAATAAAGATGTGACAGAGACTACCCATCGTGTATCCTTAAGGCTTAATGGTGGCACTAATCTCAGCTACCCACCTGGAAAATGATAATGATTTTCTAACTTGGTCACATGTGTGTCAAGGGGGCGGTTTTAGAGGTTTCCATTTGGCCATCCCCACTATGATCAATCCTGTTTCACAGACCAGGAGCCCATGTGGGTTTTACTCCAACAGCCACATATGTAAATTTCAGGCATGCACTTGAGGACTAGGGAAAGGATCCCTGGGCATCTGGAGCCACTGTGGTCCTTCAAGGTCCCCATGCTAAAGGGGGTTTGATGGCACTTTGGGTCTCTGAGTATCAATGTCAACTCATACCTGCATCTGATAGTCCACAAAATGTCTGGTTATTCAACTTTTCACCAGTGAAAGTGATTTCACCCCTTTGACCAATACAGCCAACTGAGTGGATGACCACAGGTCTCTTAGGGGATTGCCATGGTATAGACTTACCCTGGTGATGCAGGGTCCTTCTTCCTAGGGAACTGATGGATTCTGGATCTAATAATCTACTCAGGTGTGGGGACTGGAGCAAGAGACTATGACTTTTTTGTCGGGACAATTGCCCTTAACCACCTCCTCCATTTTGTCTTTAATAGATGTAATCAACAGCCTTGTTCTACTTCTGGAAGTAGAGCGCCATCACCAAGCCTCTCTTACTTTGGGGCTTATCCTCCCTGTGAGTGTTAATAAACCCCGTCTGTGACTGCCTCACCTGCCCTCATCCTTGGCTGCAGTGCCAGCCATCCCTGGGCATTTCAGTGATGCTGGTGGTCCCCTTGTCAGATAGTCTGTCCTTGATGAATAGTGTGCCCTCTGGGCTTCAGGTAATGCACCATTCCAGCCTGTCACCTCCCTCCTTCCTTTACCAACTGCGAGGACTTGGGCTTTTCTACGTGCTGAGAGTTGGCTGTCATTTTTTCCCGGTTTTTAAGAGCCACCTCAGCAGTAAATTTGTCCATCCCTTACGGTCCTCGCTAAGGTGTTTGTTAAATCCCATATCCTGGGAAAATGCCTCCAAGTCAACAAGACCTTGCCTATCCGGCTTTAAAGAACCCTTGGAATCCAATCTCAGGTGTCCTCCCATAGTTCAGCATGCACGTAAAGGTTAGTTTTTGTACCAATCCACGAGAGGATGTGGGGGGTGCATGTTCCCTTGTGAGGGAGAGGCTTCTGCAACATCTCCCAGCCCAGCGGAAGTGGTAGCTCTTACTGGAGATGGATGGGCAGAGTCTTCCTGTCCAGAGGGTGGGTGTGGGAAGGGGTGGGTGTGGAGAGAGAATGCATTCAGAGGCATCCGTCCAGATGAACTTGGTCCAGTTTTCAGGATCCCAGGTTTTCCCTACTGGCACCTCAACCTTGCATAACAGACCTGCCTTGACTGAGCGTTCACACATCTCTAGAACCCCGTGATTCCACAGCTTCAGTGGTGTCTGTCCTTCTGTCACTGGTGGTGATAATCTCTTGGTATAAGTGACCACTGAGGCACTCCGGTTCTCAAACTTAGCCTAGATTGGCTGGAGCTCAGCCTCTCACTAACCTTCTGCAGGGTGTCAAGCAATAAAATAAAAATAAAACTGCCCTATGATCCAGCAGTTCCATTCTGAAAACAGGATTTTGTCGAAATGTATGCATTCCCATGTTTATTGAAACATGATTTGCATTAGCCAAGATATGGAAAGAACTCAAGTGTGAAGGGATGAATGGATAAAGAAGATGTGGTGTACATGTATACACAATGGAATATTACTCAGCCATGAGAAAGGAGGTCCTGCCATTTGCAACCACACGGATGGATCCTGAGGGCGTTATGCTAAGTGAAATAAGCCAGACAGAGAAAGACAAATACTGTGCTGTATCACTGACTTGTGCAATCCTAAAAAGCCAAACTCATAAAAACAGAGCAGAGAATGGGGGTTACCAGAGGCAGAGGGATGTGGGAATTCGGCATATGCTGTTCAAGGGCACAAACTTGGAACGAGTAGACACTCGAGCGCTGGAGAGCTATTGCATAGCACAGTGACTATGGTCAACGGACCAGCATCATGAACTTCACAGTTGCTGAGAGATTAGATCTTGAGTTGTCCCCACCACAAATAGTGAAATAATTATGTGACACAATAGGGGTGTTAGTTAATGCCACAACGGTAGACCTCTTGCGACATATAAATGTATCAAATCAACACACATTGAACTTACACAATGTTATATGTCAATTATATTTCAGTTAAAACAATAATTTAGCAATAGCCAGCGGACTCTGGTGTCTTTGTGAGCCCATGCTTTTCAAATGCTTGCTCCGTCACATCTGCTAGCAATCCCACCAAGACATGTACAAGGTCACAACCAATGAAAACTTTGGCGACTGAACCACCAGCTTGAGCCAGAAACTTTGGGGGCCCCTCATACCCTCCAGGCTGGTGCTGTCTCTAGCCGCTGGGTGCTGGGTCAGTCTCAAATCCCCTCTGCCTGCCTGTTTGCTCAGACCACTTGGGTCACCGCTGCGTTAGTCCAGGCCCTCTGAGAAGAAGTCACCAACGCGGGATTAAGTATGCAGTGATTTTATTAGAGGAAGTACTTCGTGAAAGGCAATAGGAAGTAGTGGAAGGTTGGGAGAATCATCAGAGAAAAGAGAATGAGAGACAGAGATTGGACGGGGGTGTCCACACCACCTTGCAAGGGCCATGCAATATCAGGCAAGTTCCGGAAGCCTTCGGGAGTCCCTGAGGCAGGAGTCCTGGTCTACCTAGAATCCAGCCTAAGTTTCCCCTCTGCACCCGGTCACCAGAGGGGAGCAGCCTGGGTGTGCCTGTGTGGCTTTGGTGCAGATGTGGTGGTGGGTGTCCGCAGGTAGCTGCTGGTGCCCTGGGTCAATTGCACATTTTCAGCAGGAGGCCGGCGGGGAGCATTCTCAAGGCCGCCACACGCTGCTCACTTTCCTGCCACCGCCCTACATGGGTATGGGTACCCTGGCACTCTGGCTTCCCTCTCGTCGAAGTGGGTGAACTGTTCCATTCTGAGTGTCAGCGCTGGGTCTCAGCCATCTTGCCTGCTCAAGATTCTGGTCCAGGAGTTCCCCGCTTTCTCTCCCAGATCATCAATTCTCTCTCAATACCTCGTAACATCTTCCCGGCCTCACCTCTGCCTCGGGTTGGCCTCCGTTTCTTTGTTCCCTGTGGTAGAAACAGAGGAGCTCCCTGGAAGAGTTACCTCCCCTGTCAGTCTTCCATTTCCTCATTTCCCATGTTTTTGTTCTCAAAAGAGGTTTATTTTTTTATGAATAAAAATGGTGTAGGTTCAGTGTGGCTGGACACCAGGGCAAGAAAGCCAATGTCACTTGGAATTACTTCACAGAAACACTGTTTTACAATAAGGACAGAGTTTTACACCTGCTTCTCTTCCGCCCTTTTAAGGGTTTGATTTAGAACTTCCCTCCGTGTCTCCTGATATATCCCCACCCGTCCCCCAACTGTGACACACAGACGCTGCAGGCACGCAGTGTTAACAGAATGAAATGTTTCCTTCCAGACCTGTCTTCATGCTCTCACACACAGAGGTTTTCTTTCCTTTAGAAGATCTTACCCTAACTACTTCTCTGTGTTTCTCAGTCAACAAAACCTCGTGGAAAATCTTTTAAATCGACTAGGACAGATTGATCTATATGGTCAACATACAATCAATTTATTCAATTCTTCACCTATTGAGAAGGCATTAATTCTTTTTGTAGGGTTTTCTCATGACAACCAATGATACAGCGTATATATCTCCACATATATCCATATATATATATATATATCCATATATATAGATATCTCCTCTCTATCCTATCTCATCCAATGAATAGATTCCTAATAGGAAATTTCTGGGTCTAAGAGCATGTATATATACATTTTATACTTTATTTAAAAACTTTTTTAACTTTTATTTTTGAGAGACAGAGAATGAGTGGGGGAGGGGTAGAGAGAGAGGGAGACAGAATCCGAAGCAGCTCCAGGCTCCCAGCTGTCAGCACAGAGCCCAATGTGGGGCTCGAACTCCAACTCTTGAATGGTTAGATCATGACCTGAGCCGAAATCGGATGCTTAACCAACTGAGCCACCCAGGCACCCCAAGAGCATCAATATTTTTAATAGATCTTACCAGATCGCATTCCAAAAAGACTGAAATAATTCATTTTTCCTTCAGAATGCCAGAGAATTTCTTTTCCATCCCTGACCCTCATTGCTTCCCAGGAGTATTATCCTTCTGACTTTGTGCCCTCAGGTAAGGTGTGCAGCTTCGTTGTAACTTTGTATCTTCCTGACTGTTGGTGAGGTTGAACATCCCGTTGGATATGCACCTGATTTTGGAGTCAGTGTGCCTGCGTGTGAATTTCATCTCCATCTCTTATCATTTGGGTGACCTCACAAATATTATTTACTGATTTTGTGATTGTTTCCTCATCTCTGCAATGGGACACTAATATTCCTACCTCACGGTGAAGTTGAAGAGGATTAGGTAAATCATTAGAACAATTCCTAGCACATAGTAAACACTAAAAAAAAATGTTTCAAATATGTTTACTGGCTAATTGGCTATGCTTCTCTGTAAAATGACTATATTCTTTGCCATCATTTCTACTGGGTGTTTTTCTTTTCTATCAAATATTTTTATCAGATTTTGTCTCACCTCCTTCAATAAAGATTTTAAAGATTTGTTTCCTATACGCTTATGTAATTAAATAAAGTTTAACTTCTGTAATTTGTCACTACAATAAATAGATTACTTTTTGTGATTTCTATTGTTGTTACACAGCATTCTAGAGAAAAAGCACTAATTTTTAATATTTATCTCATATTGAGCCATCAAATTATCTTAGTCTAGAGTAGTTCTTCTTACTAATTTTGGTTTCCTAGGCATATAATCTTATTATTGAAAGAGAGGATTTTTGTCTCCTTTCCCCCCAGCATTTATAATGGTTATTTTTTTTCCTCTTGTAACGTCAGAACTTTCAAACACAGTGATGAAAAGCAAGTATCCCTGTCTCATTCTTTTTAATTTTTTTTTTTTTAATTTCTAGGAGAGAGAGAGAGACAGCGTGAGCAGGAGAGGGTCAGAGAGAGAGGGAGTCACAGACTGAAACAGGCTCCAGGCTCTGAGCTGGCAGTCAGCACAGAGCCCGACCCGGGGCTCAAACCCACGAACCGCGAGATCATGACCTAAGCAAAAGTCGGACGCTTAACCGACTAAGCCACCCAGGCGCCCCTGTCTCGTTCTTGATTTGAGTAAAATAAGAAATTCCCGTTGTGGACAGCAGCTTTGATCTGTGCCCCTGGAGTCCCACCTCGCTCTTCTACTCTTTGTGACCCTCTATTCTTAACGTCCGTGCTGTAGAATTCAGGCCCAATTAGCCTCCGCAATCACATAAGCCAATTCTTTTAAACAAATCACTTTATACACAAGCGCACGCTTCCTACAAGTTCCGCTTCTGTAGTTGAACTCTGACTGTTAGAAATACTGATTGTTTGAAAGCTGTGGTGACCCTGGGGCAAATTAAGCAGCTTATGTTGAACATGAAAATCATACTTTGAAACTTAAAATGAAAACTTAGAGCAACAGCTTCTTATTTTTCAATATAATAAGTTGTACATTTCACATGTGAATCTACTGCTAGAAAAACTTCTGGAATATACTGAAGACAGATTATTTAGGACACATTAAGCCTCTTGTGCATAAACTATGGCCATCTAAGGTTTCATATGAGAAGTTTCACGCAAAATAATGCTATTTGACACACTTATACACTCTCAAAAAATTACTTTCATTCTTAGGAAGGATTTTAATCGCCAAATTTAGTTTCCTTTTAATTTTTTAAAAAGCCACAGAATAGTATACAGAGTACCTTAAGGTAAGTGCAAACACCTTAAAATTAATTTTATAATATACAGTGGATATGAGAATGTTTGTCTTGGGGTAATTTAAGAACATTTCTCAGGGTTTGAATTTGATGATATGTACTATGTACTTAGTCACACACACACTTGCAATATAAGTATATATACATACTCTCTCTACATATATATATCCCTACTATACAAACTTTCATTTCTCTTAATTATTCTTTTGTTTTTTCTCGTATTTGATAAGTGTTTCATAAATACGTTGTTTATAGAACCTCATGTAATGGAAATAGCTCAAAACTAGAATAGTGAAGAACAGTAGCATGAGGAGAAACAGAAACGCACCAACCAGGTAGCCACTGGGACTGAAATAAGAAGAAAAAACACCAATGAGAAGTCATCATCCACTTTGCTTGTGAGTTCATTCAGTCAATGTTTGAATGACTAGCTCCTATGCCACTGACGGCAAACAGAGAATTATAAGACAGCCTGTCTACCCTCAGGATGTTTGCCTCTTACTGACTGAGGCTGACCAGGGAGGAAAACAGACCGTGTGATCAACAGAATGAGAGAAATAAATATAATTCATTGGGGGGGGAGGGGCGGGCAGACATCAGGGAAGGCCTTCCAGTGGTGGTGACCTTTGAACAGAGTACTGGCAGGAATAGGTTTCGGGGCATTAGAATGGGCTCGCTGGATAAAAATGCCTGGCAGTGGGGGCAGGGGGAACACCTGGGTGTCTGACTCTTGACTTTGGCTTGGGTCACCATCTCAGGGTTGTGGGATGGAGCCTGGAGCCTGCTTGGGATTCTCTCTCTCTCTCTCTCTCTCTCTCCCTCTGCCCCTCCCCTGCTCACGCTGTCTCTCAAAAAATAAAAATAAAAATAAGAAGCTCGGAAGTGGAGGAAGAAACAGGCGGGCGTAGAGTTTTTGGCTAAGGGAGATGCATACGCAAAGTCATGGAAGTGTAAGAGAACCTTAAGGTCACTCCCTACATTTGGGAACTAAAAACTAGCTCAAGTGTGACTAGAATTCGGGTGAGTAGGTGAAGTGGTTGGAGATGAGGAATGACAGGTGGTTAGAAGTGAGAGAGATGCCTTTTATTAAGCTACAGAGCATGGATTCTGGAAGGATGATTCTGACTGTAGTGTGAAGAACAGATGAATGGGAAGTAGAAGTGTGGAGGGGAAAAAAAACCAGTTATGAGGTTTTTGTAATCATGCAGGTGCGGCAAGCGTCTTAAATTAAACTCGTGGCTGAGGAACCTGAGAGAAGTAATAGATCTAAGACATCTTTAGAAATTAGACAGGATCGATCTCAGTGATTGTTAGGATGTGGGGCTTGAGAATAAAGGATGGCTTCCAAGGTTCAGAATGAGGTGGCTCTGAGGATGTTATCGCCATTCACTGCTCTAGGAAATTCAGAGGGAAGAACACTTTATTGAGGGTGTATAAATGTGGTTGGTTTACTTTTGGGCATATTGAATTGGAGGTACTTGAAGGTCACCCAGGTGTGTGTGTGTGTGTGTGTGTGTGTGTGTGTGTGTGCGCGCGCGCATGCGCGCACACCAATTATTAGATGGTACTTTCAGCTGGGTATTCGGCATCTGCCTCTTCACCTGGGACTCTGCATGGGTGCCTCCCAACAGAGTGGATTTATTGCTTGAGCCAAACACTGTGCTCTTTTCTATTTGGTGTCCTGGTATCTGGTTCCTTTTTAAGCCATAATTATTTACTTGCAGTGTCAGTTTCCCCAGGTCCTAGTCTCCTTACTCAGTCCTTCCTTCTATATAGATATGAGCTTAGTCTGGCTCCAGTGGTTGATTTCCTTCTTGGAGGAAGTTAGTTAATTAGCTAACTCAACAAATTACCTGATATGAGCCAGGTACTATGGTATTACCTGGAAAATAGTAATAATAGACATGGTCCCCATCCTTAGAGAGCTTACATTTTAGTGGGGACATAATCACTAATCAATGATGAGAAAACAAATAGAACATTTTACACGTGATAAGAACTAAGTAGGAGAGAGATACAATGCAATGAAACCTTACTATAGCAGGATTTCACCTGGTGATAGGGTCAGGAAATGCCTCCAATGGGGAAAAGATAATTATCCTAAACTCTGAAGAATTACATGGAAGTGTAGTTGGTAAAGTTAAGTAGGAAAGGGGGGGAAGAAAGAGTTGCCAGATGGAAGAAATAGCATGTGCAAAGTTCCTGATGTAGGACAGAGTGTGGAGAGAGTTGGGGACTGAAAGAAGGGGGGGGGGGGGGTCTTGACCGGAGAAGACG